GATGGCAGTCATGGTGGTGATGGGAATGATGGTGATGGTGATGGCAATGATGGTGAAGATGGTCATGATGATGGTGGTAAATAATGATGATGATAATGGTGATGGTAGTGATGGTGGTGATGGTTACAATGATGATGACGGCAATGATGGTGAAGATGGTAATGATGATGGTTTAATAATGATGACAGTGATGGTGATGGGAGCCATGGTGGTGATGATTATAATGATGATGAGGGTGGTGATGGCAATAATGGTGAAGATGGTTATGATGATGTTAATGATGATGATGGTGGTGATGGGAATGATGGTGATGATGATGATGGTGGTGATGGTTATAATGATGACAATGCTGATAATGGCAGCAACTTACACATGTTGACAAATTTCTTTACAACAGGCACTGGTATAGAGGCAGAAAGAAGCAGACAAAAGTCTCTGCCCTCTGAAAAACCAAATGTAATCGGCAGACTTTGGAGCTTGGTGTGAACAAACCAACTATAATAAGACATTTGGGAACAACTAGGTGAATTTAAATAGGGCTTGGGTATTAAATGGTATTAAGAAATTACTGTTAATTTTCTTAGGAGATCTAATAGTAATTTGGTCATGTAAAAAAGTCTTAATTTTAATTATTAACATGAAGTTAAATTTTTTTTTTTTTTTGGTCACCCCACACGACTTGCAGGATCTTAATTCCCAGACCAGGGATTGAACCCAGGCCTTTGGCAGTGAACGCATGGAGTCCTAACCACTGGACCACCAGTGAAGACCCCCAAATGTATCTTTAAGTTAAAACAATATTTGTCTCTCCCTTGCCTCTTAGATGGGGGGATAACTCTGAGGTGCATGTTTCTCACTGAATCCCAGAGTGCTCCCAGGGGATGGTGCCCCACCTGGTGGTAACTTGCTTGGTGACGTCCTTCATCAGCTGCCTGGCAACTACTCGCCAGGCTGAAGGAAGCGATTCCTGGGATCGCCTTCCATCCATCCTGCCTTTCAGTCCCCACCTGGACTCTGCTTCTGGGGGAACCCCGACTAACACAGGTGTGGCCACGGTACCGTGATAAGAATTCTAATAATCTGAATAAGAAAGTCTCTAGATTAGCTAAGATCATGATATCAATATTAATGTTACTATGACTGTGTAAGAGAATGTTCTAGTTTTTAGGAAATACGCTCCAAAGCACTGAAGGGTAAATAGACATCATGCTTGCAACTTACTCTCAAATAGAGAGATAGAAGAATAAAGCAAATGTGGTAGAAGGTTAACAACGGGGAGTCTGCGTATACAGCATTCCTCTGTATTGTCCGGGCAATAAGTCTTAAATAAGTCTTAAATTATGTCAAAATAAAAATAAATAAACATTCTAATCCATTGGTAGTATTTATGAAGTTCTTACTAATGAAATTGTATGATGTCTGGGTAGGGGATGGCAGGAGGCAATGGATAGAACAAGCTTAACAAAATGCTTATAATTGCTAAAGGGAGATGGAGATGGAGGTTCTCCTGTTCTTAAAATACACCGAGGTGGTTTCTGCCCCAGGGCCTTTGCACACTCTTTTGGCAAGTGAAACACCCTGTGTCCTACTTCTCTACTTCCTTCCCTCCCATTCAAGGTTGAGCTCAAACTTCACCTTTTCCCTTCTACTTCTCCCAGGATTCATTTGCCCAATATGTATCTCAGAGACTGCAAACTGAGTGAGGTGGATTGGCCGCAAGAAACAGAATGGGGCAAGGTTCGCGATAAACAATAATACCTTGCAGACAGTAACCTCTGTGCCAGGTATGTTCTAAGGGCTTTGTGGGTATTTAATTTAATCTCATTCAATTCTCAGGACAACGCTGTGAATTACTACCACTATTAGCCTCCTTCTACAGATGAGAAAACCTAGGTGCAGAGAGACTGAGAATCTTGCCTGATGTTACAAGTAGGAAGTGACAGAGAACCCAGGCAGGTGGACCCCAGATCTAGACCCTCATGTGAGGCTTCTGCACCAGCCACTCACAGGTAACAGAGTCAGGAGGCCAAGGAGGGAGAGCTGGGGATTGGGGTACAGTGGGGAGCCAGGCCACATTTAGCAGACTGTCGCCCTTGCCATGGATCCAGTTGGCCAACTTTTCAAGAGAAACCAGAAATTCAGTTGTTTGTGAGAAATTTCTCTCTTTTTAAAAATGCTGGCAATTAATGAGGGAGGGAGAGAAAGAAAAGCAAAACCTCACACACATGGGAAGCCCCTGGTGGTCCAGTGGTTAAGGATCCCTGCTTCCAATGCAAGGGGCTCAGGTTCGGTCCGCGGTGGGGCAGCTAAGATCTCACATGCCGCTGGCACGGCCAAGGAAGGGAAAAAAAAATACACACACGCACATACCCTTTACGGGCTGTGGTGTGTGCATGCTTTATTGTATGGAGGTGCCAATCTTTTATTATTATTATTATTATTATTATTATTATTATTATTATTATTATTATTATTATTTTGGCCGCGTACCACTGACTTGCAGGATCTTAGTTCCCAGACCAGGGATTGAACCCATCCATGCCCTCCGCAGTGAAAGCACGCAGTCCTAACCACTGGATCGCCAGGGAATTCCCAGGAGGTGCCAATCTCAGAAGGTGAACAGAAACTGGGGACAGGAGCCAGGGTTGATTGGTTGAGAGACAGATTATCCAACTGCCTGGGGATATTTCACCTGGATCTCAGATGAAATCTGGGGAAGCACCTGAGCTTCTCCACACAGGTGACCCCTGACCCACTCCGTGCCCCTCTCCCCTCTGTTTACATTCGCTTTCCTGAGCTCCTCTAGCCTCAAGCTGGTGCGCTCCGAACTGATGTCTCCAGGCCTCAACATTTGCCCTAGACCCATGGCCCGCACGCAGATGTCTGGTGGGCATCTCTCACTTGACAGCCCCCCGCCCCGCCTGCTCCTCCCCAGGCTTCCCCAGGGCAGCAGATGGCAACGCCTTCCTGCCAGATGCTGGGGATTGGGGTTGGGGGAAACAAACAAACAAACAAAAACCCCACCCACTCCTTTCTTTCTCAAGTCTGCTGCCACATCTAGTCTATAAGGAAATCTTAACAAGTCTACCTTTAAAATGCATCCAGGGATTTCCCTGGTGGTCCAGTGGTTAAGAATCCGCCTTCCAATTCAGGGAACTCAAGTTCGATCCCTGATCAGGGAACTAAGATCCCACATGCCACAGGCCAACTAAGCCCGCGTGCCATAACTAGAGAGCCCTAACACCGCAACTACTGAGACTGTGTGCTCTGGAGTCCCAGCACCACAACTAGAGAGAAGCCCGCAAGCAGCAATGAAGAGCCCTCTCCCTGCAACGAAGATCCCGCAAGCTGCAACTAAGACCCGAGGCAGCCAAATAAAAATAAATAAATAAACAGAAAAACTTACGAAAAAAATGTATGCAGAATCAGACCATTTCTCACCAAACCCACAGCCACAAGCCTGGGAATCCAACATCACCTCCTCTGGCCTGGACCATCCCATCGTCACCTCCTCACTGGCTTCCTGGCCTCTGCCCTTGCCCCCCACTTTGTTCCCCACCCAGCCACCAGACGGCACCAGATCCCACTTACGACAGTTCGAGTTCCTCTGCTCCGAACACTATGGCTTCCAGCTCAGACAGTGTCAAAGCCAAGTCCTCTCCACGGTTTACAAGACCCAGCACGATCTGCCCTCAACTTCCAGCCTCTCCCTGCTTCGTCTGCTTCAGTCACGCTGCCTTCCTCGCTGTCCCTCCTACACGCCAAGCACTCCCACCCCAGGGCCTTTGCACTGGCTGTTCCTCTACTGGACCACAATTGCCCACATACCTTCTTGGGGTCTTGACTCAAATGTCACCTCTTAGAGAAGTCTTCTGACCACCCACCCTGTCTAAAAGAGCACACAGATACACACTTAAGAAAAAAAAAAAAACCTTATCTAGTAAAGATCATACCGAATTATTTTATTTATGGGTGAAATAATGATATCTGAGACTTGCTTTCAAATACAACAAGAAACAAAAATGACAGAATGGGGGCTTCCCTGGTGGTGCAGTGGTTAAGAATCCACCTGTCGATGCAGGGGACACAAGTTTGATCCCTGGTCCAGGAAGATCCCACATGCCGCGGAGCAACTAAGCCCGTGCACCACAACTACTGAGCCCGCACGCTCTAGGGCCCATGCTCCGCAACAAAGAGAAGCCACCGCAAAGAGAAGTCCACATACTGCAACAAAGAGTAGCCCCCGCTCGCCACAACTGGAGAAAGCCGGTGTGCTGCAGTGAAGACCCAACGCAGCCAAAAATAAATAAATAAATAAATAATTTTTAAAAAGTATTATAATGGGGAATTCCCTGGCGGTCTAGTGGTTAGGACTCTGCGCTTCCACTGAAGGAAGCACGGCTTCGATCCCTAATCGGGGAACAAAGATCCTACAAGTCCCACAGCACAGCAAAAAATAAATTAAAAAGTATTGTGATGATAAATTAAATAAATAAATAAAAAGTACTTGATGAAAATAAGTTGTTATCATAGAGAACGAATATGTACATGTACATGTAGCTGCCATATGAGCAGGAGTAGCCAGGAAAGGCCTTTCTGAAGAGATGGTATTTGAACTGAGACAGTAAGTAGGAGGCGATTTGGGGAAGATTCAGAGGAAAGGCGTAGAGGTAGAAGGAGACACTCTTTGCTCCTAATAGCTATTCACTGGGTAGCAAAGCTGTGACTGTCTATTACTGACTCCTTGTCCTACCTCCTTTCTCCAGATCCTTAACATCCCCCACCACTACCACCACACCACTTTGGAAGGTTCTGGAAGGTTCCTAAGAAGACTGGGCTATGTAGCAACACAGGTAGCTTTGGCCAGATGTAGGGATCTGCATGCATTTCTTTTCTACAAAAATGGCGTCCTTCTGGAATAAGACCAAAGCAAGGCACAGAAAACATTTGGCTCTGAGACAAAGTGGGTCTGACAATCTCACTGTCAGGCGGCTGCTCACCTTGGTCAGGGTGTACGTCCCCAGCAGATTCAGCTCCAGCAGCTGCCGGAAGCCCTGGGCAGAGGTCTCCTAGGGCCACTGCGGAGGTGGATCTAAGGGTGGGGGTGGAAGAGAGAGAGAGGAGAGGATGAGGGAACCATGAAGACAGGAGAGCAGGGAAGGGGAATAGGCACTGCGGGGTGCAGGGGGGAGGAGTGGCAGACAAGAGGGTCAAGGGTCCTGAAAAGGAAAGGAGGCTGCATAGTGGTTACTAAAAAATAGTCTCAAAATTGGATTAAGAAGATGTGGTTTGTATGTACACTTGGAATATTAGCCTTAAAAGAAAGAATGGGGGCTTCCCTGGTGGCGCAGTGGTTGAGAGTTCACCTGCCGATGCAGGGGACACGGGTTCGTGCCCCGGTCCAGGAAGATCCCACATGCTGCAGAGCTGCTGGGCCCGTGAGCCATGGCCACTGAGCCTGCGCATCCGGAGCCTGTGCTCCGCAACTGGAGAGGCCACAACAGTGAGAGGCCCATGTACCGCAAAAAAAAAAAAAAAAAAAGGAATGAAATACTGCCATTTGCAGCAACATGGATGAACCTAGAGAATATTACGCTTAGTGAAATAAGTCAGAGAAAGACAAAAACTGTATGATATCACTTATAAGTGGAATCTAACAAATAATACAAGTAAATATATATGCAAAATGGAAACAGACTCAGATATAGAAAACAAACTTGTGGTTACCAAAGGGGAAAAGGAAGGAGAGAGGGACAAATTAGGAGTATACAAACTACTACAGATACAAACTACTATGTATAAAGTAGATAAGCAACAAGGATATATGGTATAGCACAGGGAATTATAGCCATTATCTTGATATATATATATATATATATATATATATATATATATATATATATACATATAAATTAACTATACTTCCATTAAAAAACTTAAAAGGAGCAGGGACTTCTCTGGTGGCGCAGTGGATAAGACTCTGCGCTCCCAATGCAGGGGGCCTACGTTTGACCCCTGGTCAGGGAACCAGATCCCACATGCATGCCGCAACTAAGAGTTTGCATGCCGCAACTAAGGAGCTGGCAAGCCGCAACTAAAGGAGCCCTGGAGCCGCAACTAAGACCTGGTGCAACCAAATAAATAAACAAATATTTTAAAAATTAAAAGGAGCATCAAAAGAAAAAAGAACAAAAAACCAGTCTCAGGGCCAGAAGGCCTGGGTTCAAATCTTAGCTCTGACACTTCTTGGCTGTGTGACTTTAGGCAAGTCACTTTGCCCCTCTGTGCCTGTTTCCTCATCTGCAGAATGTGGATAACACTTTGTTCTCAGGCTTAGAAATTTCACAAGTCAATATTTGTGCCTGACACTTAGTACTATAAATGTGTTTGCTAAATAAATATAAAGAGGGGACTTGCCTGGTGGTCCAGTGGTTAAGACTCTGCACTCCCAATGCAGGGGGCCTGGCTTCGATCCCTGGTCCGGGAACTAGATCCTGTAAGCCACAACTAAAAGATCCCACGTGTTGCAACTAAGACCCGGCACAGCCAAATAGATAAATATTTTTTTAAAAAAATAGAAAGAACTGGGTGGATGGAAGAGGGACAGATAAATCAACATTAAGAAGAAAAGAAGCAGGAAAGATAGGAGTAAGAACAGGAAAAAATAATAGAAACTGGGAAAAATGGACCCTGAACCTTCCAAAGGCTTTGAGTCAAAGTGGATGAAGGGACAGAGAGATGGGAAACAAGACAATGGAAAGTTAATGAAATATTGGATTATTCCTCCTGGAGACCCAGGGCTTATGGCCTTGCTTCCTTCAGAGAACGGTTCAAACATCTTCAGAGAATCAACCCCAGACCCTCTGTACAAAACAGCCCCTGACATTCTCTAAGCCCTCAATCAGATTTATTTTTCTTCATAGCCTTTATCACTACCAGACATGCTAATATATACAATCAATTATCCTTATTCGAGGAGCTATAGTCCACAAAGTCACAGCGAACACTGAATTAGTGACTACTGACCCATTGTTCCTAGCGGAAATACATATATATAATATTACATTATAACATATACATGCTATCAACTGAAAGTTTGTGTCTCCCCCCAAATTCCATATGTTAAAATCCTAACCACCAATGCGATGGTATTTGGAGGTGGGGTTCTGTGGGAGTTAAGTCATGAGGATGGTTCCCTCTTGAATGGGATTAGTGCCCTTATAAAAGATACCCCCGTGAGGTCCTTCGTTCCTTCCACCATGTGAGGCCTCAGCAAACAGGCCCTCACCAGACACCAAATCTGCTTCTGACTTGATCTTGGACTTTCCAGCCTCCAGAACTGTGAGAAATAAATGTTTGTCCTTTAAGCCACCCAGTCCATGGTATTTCTGTTATAGCAGCATGAACAGACTAAGACAGGACATATATGTGTATGTATATATGTACATATGTATATAGTTATATGGCTATCTAACATAAATATTATAATCTTAAATCCTAAAAACAACCCATACTGGCAGACTCTATTTTATTTATTTTGCAAATAAGGAAGTGTTAAGTGACTTGCCTGAGGCTGCCCCACTCACAGATGCCAGAGCTGGGATTCAAACCCATCCAGCTGGCCCCAGAGGGAGCTCCTTACAGACACTGCCCTCTCCCATCTCCACCTCTGGGCCTCTCTCTGTTTGAAAGCTAAACCCAGAGGGCAGAGCATCACCATATTTGACCTTAGCTGGGAACATGTGCTACGGGCAACTCAAATTTTTGCCTCTCTACGCATGTCCGTGAATACTGGGAAAGCACAGTGAGTACTGATTCTGGGGTTACAACCCACCCTGCAAGGTGAGTTCACAAATACAGAACCCGCAAATAATGAGGATTAACTTTGTCTTTTCTTATCTATTTCCTTACTCTACAATGTGAATCCCATGAGGACAGGAATGCTTGGTCAGTTTTGTTCACTGCTAAATCCCCAGTCCCTAGGACAGAATGTGGGGCATAGTAGATGCTCAATAAATATCTGTTGAAAGGATCAAGGACACAGAGAGAAAGGATGCACTAGTATCTGCCATCTCTAAATTCTTACAACAGAGAAGGGAAGTGCAGCCCAGAGAGGGTAAGTCAATTGTTCAAAGTTGCCCAACCAATAAGAGAGGCTTCTTTCTACCATGGCCTTGCTGTGTGACCCCAGTCCGATCAGTTCACCTCTCTGAGCCTTGGTTTACCAACGTGAGGCATTCTTATGAAGGGTAAGCAGGAAGCTGATGGCAATTTCCCTTCAAAGCCTCCACACCAAGCCCTATAGACCATGTTTAGAGAGTACATCACCTCAGTCATGGAAAAAGAGAAGGGCCATCAGTCTCACGTCTTAGATAAGAAACTGAGGCTACAAGATGGCAGCTATTTGCCCAAGACAGTTCCAGTAATTAGGAGGCTGAGCAGTTACACTATTCCATACTCACAACTACACTATAATGATGACAAGGATGGTGATTTTCATTTTAGAGATGTAGAAACAGATGCATAAAAGGGCTAAGGGCACAGGCCTGGGGGCACACAGCAGGGATGGAACAGAGCCAGCATTGGGGTGGGAAGCCAGGAGGTGGGTTGACACCAGTGGAGAACAGCCCTCAGGACTCATGACTCACAGTAGCCAGCGCTGTTGACTACACAATCTAGGCGGCCGAAATGGTTGATGGTCTCAGAAATGAGGGTCTGGGGAGAAAGATATCTCGTGAGTGAGCAGTGATGGCATCAGGCCTTTTGGAGCTGAGGGTCCAAAAGCAAGGTGGGGACAGGAGTCACAGCTGAGGGGCCAGACACCAGAGGGCTGGTGACATTCACACTGTGGTCACTACTCCAGAGATCTGGGACTGGGGTGCGGGGGCAGATGTCAGAGATACTGGCTAAAGAGAAAGACCAGAAACCCTGAGGAAAGAGAAAAACTCTTACAGAAAGAGACCCACTGTGAGGAATTTATTTGTCCCAATCCACATGACAGGTGTGACAAGAGCCTTGAGGGAGTGGGAGATAAAGGAGAATCTTCCCAGGAGACACAGGACCTGGTCGGCAGAGTTAGGGAAAGCCTTGAAATGATACTGAGCTGAAACCTCTGGGACGGGTACAATTTAGCCAGGAGAAGGGGGAAAGGCAGAGGGAACAGCATGTGCAAAAGCCTGGGGCTGGGTGGAGAAACAAGTGGAGATACCGGGGGTAGGGATAGAAAATACGCTCGCCCTCACATCTTCCTCCTGAGTCACATCACAGAGCAGAAAGACAGTGCCAGGAAACTCCCGCTCCAGCGCCTGACCCCCGGACTCTGCAGGAAGAGAAGGGCTGGGGGTCTGGACTCTTGGGTCTGAGGGAGGAAGGGTCTGGGGGCCTGGACTCCTCCTGGAGGGGTGGGGGTGAGGACTGAGGGACCCTCACTCACCATCTTTGTCACAGATAACCACTCGGGCACCGCTTTCCACTGAGGATGGGAAGAGAACTGGTTAACCCAGCACAGGCCTTTGCGAAGCCCTCTGGTGCCCTCTAGTGGCCATCTGAAGTGGGGCCGTCTCCCACTATGCTCTCCTCGTGACCCCAAAGTCTCATGATAAACCCTTAGGACAAAGGGCAGAAGTTTTGACACATATTCTCCTTGGTTGCTCCAGGTGCTTGCTGGAGCTCCTGAGCCTCCAACCCTGGGTTCCAGAGTAAACCCTAAAGCTGCAAGAGGCATGTTCCCCCAAACCACCCGTTTTGTAGCTATTACTGAGACCCGCCGAAAGGGAGTCAACGGCGTTTGGAAATCCGCCAAAATCTCAGGCCCCAGGCTACCACTGCCTATATTTTCATTAATTTTGTAAATGGGATTTTATAAGATAAGAATCTAGATTCCAGTACAGAAGATACTTCTTTCCACACCCATTAATTAGCCCCCCAGGGTCCCTCCTCTCCCAGACTCCCAACATTCAGAGCCAGCCAGACCCCACTCACCGAAGGCTCGAACGCCCGCCCCCGGTCACGACGACCACCTTCCCAGCATAGCGCGTTCCCGTTGCCATTCCGTGTGAGGCTGTCTCTCCCTCTGTCACTCACTCCAGGATTCTATCCACCTCAAAATCCGGTGAGGTCGTGGGGTCGAACGGTAAATAAGGGCTGGATCCTGGAAGCCCGGCCCTGGGGGGCGTTGCCAGGAAAGCCAGAAGCCTGGAAGTTTGGTCCCAGCCCCGTCCTCCCTCAGACCCAGAGGTCCGGATCCCCAAACCCCTCCTCCCTCAAACTCAGGATTCCTGGCGTCTCGCCCTCTCTGCCCTCGGACCCAAAACTCCAGGTCCCTAGTCTTCTCTTCTTTCAGATCCAGGAATCCTGGTCCCCAGCCCCCTCCTCCCTCAGAACCAGTAATCTGGACCCCGAGCTTCCTCCTTCCTCAGACCTACAAGTCCGAGGTCCTTGTCCCCTTCTCCCTCGGGGCCCAGAAGCCCACTACTCTGGCTCTACCCCTCAGAGACACCAGTGTAACAACCTCAGACAGAAAGTTCTTGACTAAAAGTTCAAAGTTTTAATCCAAATCTGGACAAGTGTTGGGAAAACCAAACTTTGGCCATAGAAACCCCTCCCCTTCTAGGCCACCTGAGGGGACAAGATCACGCCCCCAGGTTCCAGGAGAGGCTCCAGATCTCCGGTGGGGGTACCTCCAGGCCACGCCCTCACTCTCTGATTGGTTGCTACGTTTAGGCGGGTCAGAAGCTAGATTGCAGCAGAGTGACTCGAAGAGGCCACGCCCCCTCGTCTTGGGTTAGGGCGGGAGGGGCGATCCCGGAATCCCACGTCGGCTCCCAGGAGGCGGGGCCTGCGCCGCGCCCACTACCTCTGCGGGAGAACCCCGAGGAGCGGGAATTGGCAGCTGGAGGAGATCTTGGGGGGGAGGACACCTGGGGCGGGGGCTCTGACGGAGGCGGCGGGGCAGGGGGAAGAGGGTCTCCTCGAGACTCCAAATTTCCACCTAGAGAGGACGAATGGGGTATGAGAATGGCAAACTCTTGGACCCAGAAGTCCAGACGCCCCCAGGCCTTTCCTCTCAGACCTAGGAGTCCGACCTCCCAGCTCCCTCCTCTCCCAGACTCAGAATTCCTGGACCCTGGGCCCCTCCTTCCTGGGATCTAGAGCTCCCAAGCCCTGTCCAGCTCTCTCCTCATAAAGATAAAGGATTCCTCAGACCCCTACCCATCAGCACCTACGATTCCAGGCCTCCGACTCCCTCCTCCCTAAAACCCAGTAGCCCAAAGTCCCCAGCCCATTCTCACCTGTCATCATTCTGTGCCACTGCGACGCCTCAGTGGCCAGGGCTTGAGAGAGGCTGAGAACTCGCTCCCGGTGCCCTTCGGATGTCGGCAAATAAGGGGTGGTGTTCCTTGGACTAGAAAGGAAGAGATTTGGGGAACTTGTATAATTAGCCAGTACAGTAAGGACCACTGTGCCCCGCGTGTCCTTCTGGGAGTTGTAGTCCCTAGCACGTGTCTCTAAAGGATTTTAAACTGGGCGCGACCCCCTATTAAAAAGCCCGCGTGCATTGTGGGATTTGTAGTCCGGTTGCCGGAAATTTTCTCAGATTTCCTGACGGAGGGGCGGAGTTTGATATCGACCTAGGAACTGCAGTTCTCACTGCGAACTAGGGCTTTCTGATTCCTCTGGAACTCAAGCGTCTCTAAAAGATTCTGCGATCTGTACTTCAGTACTCACGAGTACTCAGGAGACATTAATAGCAATGCTACTCTCTTACCCTTTGCTGATTTCCCTGCTCCTTGCCCCGATCTCCAATTCCTTACCTGCTCCAGGACCCCGAGCTTCTAAGCCATTTCTGGGCTCCTGAGTGTCCCAAGACAGGCTGCAAAGGAATTGGGGCATTAGAATTCCTCATGTGGAAGTCCTCATGTTCTCATTTTGAGGGTGAAGGGGCTCAGAAAGGGGATAAAACTGCCCCAAAGACACTGCCAATTTTTAACTTTACTTGAGCTCCTGGAAAACAAGGAGAGTTCGGAAAATCACCGCCCCCGCCCCCCCCCGC